GAGGCGTCCAGGGACAGTGTGCGGGATCATTGTTGGGAGTAGGTACCGGCGTCGGGCGGCACGCGACTGTGCGCGGCTGCGTGCGGTGGGCGCGGGTAGCTTCTGGCGGCGATGATTTCCGGCGGCATTCCGGCGGTGGTGGACGGCGGCGATGTGACCGGAAAAAGGAGATCTTTAAGGCTCGATCTATCTAACCTTAAGATCTTCTAATGTATGATCTAAAAAACTATTCCGAAAAATCTTGGTGAGCGATTTTTTGGATCTCTCGAACTCTCAATATATAGAACACTCGAATTCCTTTCTCCCTTAGGAAAGCTTCACCCCCTGTGGATCAATAATGTAGGGAAGAGTTCAAGACATGGTGTATTTATAGACTACGTTAGAGACTTTAAGGTAGTGCTAAATATGGGCTTATCGCTAAGGAAACCTAATTCCATTCCATATACTTTTCCAATCTATGATAGAATTCCTCCTAACTCTAATTACCTTCTAGAAGACTCTTTAGTTTTGTAACCCTACGTAATATTGTAGAAGGAATATTCCTCTCCTAATGGAATATAAATTATGGAATAAAATTAATTCCTTAACATAAATAGAATTAAATAATAAAACATTTCCACTAGAGTAATACTAAATATTCCTCTCCCCATTTAGCTCCAATTTATTCAATAAATTTGAACCTTCAAATGATTAATTAATATTAATCTAACCGATTTACCTTCTTAAATTTAAGATATAACGTCCGTGGAGAGTTTGAGAGTTTTTTTTTGTAATTCTCTTATTTTTATTCTTAGTAATAAAAACTTGTTTTTTTCTCAATTATGATTATGATATTAAACTAATATCACAATAATAATTAGATAGATCGATTTGACATATTTAAAAACATATTTATACTAGTAAATATCATACTTCTTATATTGTAGCATAAAAATCCCAACCCAAGTTGTACCCTTTTGCGGGGTGGTGTTATAACTCTATTAATGGATTAGACCATCGATTTTTCATACTTTACTAAAAAAACATCATACTTTTTTGTCGCTTTTTAAAATATGATATTTAGTATAGATTTCAAAAACTATGCAGGCTAATAGATAAACCTCCCTAACATCAAGTATATTCTTTATTACTTTTCTTTGAAGAAATATGCAATACATTAGATTAAACCAAGTGCATCGAATGTGGATTATCTGTGTAGCATAATTTTGACAAAATTATTTATTTTTCCTTTGTGAAACCTACTCCACTATCACTATTAAATTACCACACCAACTTCTCAAAATAAATAAAAGAAAAGGCAATGTAAAGTCTTGGGAGTAGCAGCCTTCTATAGAACGAGGGCAGTCTCGACTTTTCAAAGGCTCATCAAGGCAAAAATGGGGGACCTTAAATTGTCAATTAATTTAGAAGTCTTTTAATTTGCCTAACTAAAGGTCACTTTTTCAGTGTCTGCAGTGTGATAAAGGAGGAATTGCGGTATGATAATTGATCATTGCGTGGACAGAGCGCGTGTAAAGCATGATCCTACTTTGGTTAATGATGGAGAGGAGGTTGTATTCTACTTTTTAAACAAGACGATTTTGTGGAGTTATTGGATAACTTGATTTATATAATTATTTATAATTATTCATAAATAATCTATTGACACTGTGTTTTGTAATAACTACATATTGAACATATGTGAATACATAAAATGATAAAATTATAGATAACTTCGATGGCTCCATAAAATTTATTTATAATTGTTATTATCCATAATCCATGGAATGGGGAAACTGAAACTCAATCGAGGAAAGGCGCGTGGGAAGGAAAGTGACAGGAGTAATAGGATAAAAGCATAGGTGGAGTCGTAATCAGTTGGGAGTAACCCGTTTTGTCCGGGTTACCATGGTAGAGCGTACCCAACCTACCTTTAGCCCTCTGTTGGGTGCCATGCAATTGAATGCCTTTGATTGTGACCTGCCCCTTTTTCAGTTCTGTCAACTTTTGTCTATTTTTCTTTACTTATTTTTGCTCAATTACCCTTTTACCCTCCTCTGTCTCTCTCTCATTCATGTCTATTTGCAATTTTCACCCAATTTCCATTGTATATTTCTTTTTCAAAATTCACCCATTTTCATTGTATGTTTCTTTTCCAAAATTTTATTTAACGTGGTATACTAATTTTTATTTTTTTTAATAAATTTATCTAATAAATTTTTGGATTTTAATTCTAATAAGTCATTCAATTTTTGGTTGGAATTTATAATGAAAATAAATCAAGTAAACTATATAAAATTCAAACTTTCGACTTGATTCATTAAATAGCTTGTAGGCTTCATCATATCATTATACCATACGCACGAAAAAAAAAAAAATTTGTCGTTTCAAGTCCTTTGAAAATCTTAGATCACCCGTCTATATTTTTCGACATCCTATTAAATATCTAATCTTTTGATAATTCAAAATCTTACTATTTTAGAAGTATCATCTCCTTAACTTTCAAATAAGTTCTTCGGGTAAAATGTCGAACATTTTTGTTGTAGCGTGAGAGTTTGGCACAACCAATTTAGTCAATTCCTTGTTTAGTATTAGCAAATGATATTATATTTTGTTTGTCATCTCTTTTCATATAAAATTATTCAATATATTTCAGATTTCATATTTTGACTTTGAAGTTTCAATCATTTTATTTTGAATGAAATGAACTTTAAGCTAAAAAATCTTTTACCTAATGAAAATCCTAAAACATTATCGGAATAGACTAGGACCACCTAAAAGTTATTAAATTAAAATTGCAAGTTTTCCTTCTCTCGTGAAGTAAATAAACTAGCACAAACTACATGTTTTTATATTAAAAATTCAATTCTCAATTTCTCATAAATGGTTAATGCTCTAGAAACTTAATGAAACCCGAATTCCTCGAATGGTCTATTGAAAGTATTGAAACTTTTTTTCTTTTTACAGACAATAATTATATTAAAAATTTAAAACTCTAAAGAGTACAATAAATGTCAACTGACACAACTGAAACCAGAACAAAGTCTGGACTAACTCCCATTAAAATCACACATATGAACCAATGTGGTAAAAATTCCATAAATGCGACATAAACATCTGCAAAAAATAAACTCCATAAAGGAGACTAATCTAGACACAATTGGACTAAACGAAAAGAACACTGATGCTTGGATTCAAATTTATCCAAAAAAGTCCAATCATTTTTAACTCAATCATTTTTTTAACTCAACTTTAACTCAATTCCACTATCATCAATATTATCAATATAATTAAATAATATCAATCAATTATTTTTATACATCACATCAACTTTAATTCACTATTTATCAACTCACAAAATTTTAACTAACCATCACTTCAAATCATCCATCTCTTACTTTTACATCAAATCAACTTTAATTATTTTATTTTAAATATTATTTTAATATACTCACTAACAACTAACTATATTACCTTTTTCAAAATTAACCAAACTAAATCAAAAAATCCAAACAAATCTCAATTTTTTTATATCCAAGCATCCTCTAAGGAAACAAAAACAACACATACCTAATAAACAAAAAGAGTAATACTTCCTCAAAACCTATCAGGCAAACAACATGACCAACCATTTCGGCACACGAGCCACCACTCGTAGCACATAATCTTAATTGAGCTGCAAACCTAGACTCTATTCTGAAAAATTGCGGTCAAACTCGAACTGCATAAACACATCTAACAATAAGGTGATTCTTAGCCCAGATCTGAGCTTCATCAACTTATAATGTCGAGGAAGAGCCACCGCGAAAGACGACATCGGAGGAGCCACGCCGGAGGAGCCACAATCGAGGTACCAGAGGGGTTAACCCAAACCTCTGCGTGGCTGATCGGTGCCTCCAAAAGAAGACGCAAGCTGACGAACGGAAGGCCAATAGACTCTGACGGACCAGCCTGAGGCAGGAGGCAAACACGGTGAGACGACGGCCCCTACCTTTGCCGAAGAGAGAGGTGGCGAGGCGAGAGCCTCCGGCCACCAGATGCCTCGCCCATCTGCGGATGGGGTGGGGAAGCGAGCCTCCAACCTTGGGCCCATCCATGGCGTGGCGCTAGATCAGAAGGCGACGAACGATTTGGAAAAAGAGGGGTTTTTTTCTCTCTCATTGAAAGTATTGATGACTAGTAAATTTATATTTTTAAACTATTGATAAAATTGTTTTGAAAGTTTTTATTATCCTTTGTCTGAGTCGGTATATATGACGATGTCTCTTGAAAGTTCTCTAGGTAAGGAGGATGATTAAGTATTTTTTATAAGTTCAAAAATTTAATATCGTCTCCATATAATATATGTAATATATATATTGTTTTTTTTTTCGAGAACGATAGATTTCATAGATAGAAACACATATGTACAGACTAAAAAATAATTAATCAGTCGAATAAACACATATTTTTTTAATATTGTTTCTATATAATGTTGATGTGCAATCTTTCCAAAAATAATTATGAAGTGGTAACGTGCTATTGTTGGTATATGTGTCCTAGAAACAATATTTTGAGGACATATATACATGATCTCATTAATGTTATATTTGATTATAATTATGGTAGTCCAATTCATTATATAACTATTTGATTGTTTGTAATTTATTAATTTAATGCTCTCTTGAGTTAATGCTGTCATTAACAGAGTGAGATACTAATTGATAAAATATAACTCTTAAATCGCCTCAATCGATGACCATTAAGAAAGTGATATTAATGATACGTGATAGATTGACATGTGGTCTGCATCATATTCTTGAAGAATATAGTGTGTCTCACTACTATGAATAATTGTTATTCGTGATGGACACATGGATATGAATAATTGTTATTCGTGATGGACACATGGATACTTTGGAGAGTATTGGTATACCCTACCGATAAATTATTTGTTTATGTGTCTGTGGGAGTATCGGTGTGCGGAATGGTGCAATAGTCATTTGACTTGAGGTCAATACACAATTCATGTATAGAGTAATTTACTTAGACCTAGTCCAACGCTTACGCTTTTTATGGGGTAGATACGAGCTTGTGTTGGGTTGATCACGATATACATGGAATTGGTAGCTGAGCAAAGATAGGATTCATTTATCGAATATAGTTTCGAAAGAACACTCACTTTTTCTATATTGGGTTGATAAAGACATTGATCAATGCACGCGATTATATTTTAAATGGTGTTCAAATATAACAATTAAATTCAACCAGTAGGATGAGATAAATGATTAAGTTGTTTGGATAGACACACGTTCAAGTCCTAAGCTTAATCGAGTGGTTCGTGAATGAATGAACCGTATCACTATTGAGTTTTACACTAAAGGTTTGTTTACTTTGTCCATGTAAACATACTTCATATTTGAGTTCGTCATTCGGCGCAGTCTAGGAGTTTAGCAAGGATCATAAATTAGATTTATGTCAATATATGAAGGTCTATTGGGTCACACAATATGCAATCAATTTTCCGACAAAGAGTGAACCGAGAGTGTTAATTATTCAATTGGATTGGAATATAATTTATGTAATAAGATTATTTTTTATTTGATAGAAAATATTTAATGACGTTAAAATAGATTTATACTTCATTAAATAGTTATTGGATTCAGTACAATTACCTATTGGGCTATAGGGTCTCCTAAGGCTCATATAATTAGGTTTGACTAATTATCTTTTCATCGTCATTTATGGATATCTTGAGAAACATTTGAAAGATCACAAATCTTAGAGCTTGAGAGATTTTAACATCAAAAGACAAAACACTCTCTACCTTTCTGGATTGAGGATTCCTAGCTTCTTCACCAGAAGAGATTCATTGACGTTAGATCGTGCATCCAAAAACTAGATTGCAGAGACGGACAACTGTAAGTTTCCGTTGATCACTCATGCGACCGAGAGTCATATCACATAGCTATAGCCGGATCTTCGTTGTTGGTAAGAAAATTTTAAAATTCTGCTGTGCGTGCGCTAGGTTCGTACGTCTAAAATCCAACAACTATTTTAAGGATACTATATAAAATTGAAAAGTAATTAGAAGGAGGCTGTGGATTAACAAAAATCAAAGAGAGAAAAGTAAGACAAAAGGCACGATAGTCGGCGTATTATGTGCTTGCATTCATAACCTTGCATTTTTATTTGTTGTTGCCCATATATGAACTTTTTTATCATCTATAATGAGTTTTTTATGTTCTTTTCAATTGGTTTCCGATGCCCTTTCTAAATACCGCGACATAGTTATTTATACACAAAGAAAGGCGAAAAACTTATCATGACACTTTGATGAGTCATTGGGACATACGACGGGTTTATGATGCGGGAAACCTGTCTAAATAACTAGCTTTGTGGTCCATGAGTCCGTTCATATTAGGTGGTACCAGTTTCTAGGTGGTGGCGGCCACTGATTATGAACGACAACCCTTTTCATACTGTGTAGTGAGATTGGCACGAAAGAAGATACGCCTCTGTGGTCTGTGTTGATGTGAAGAATATTGACCTTGTACAACATAGTAACGTTGGAGTGAAGGATATTCAACTGAACTAGACCGGCATAGAGACTGACCCGGAGTGAGATCGCCACGGGAGATCGTCAATGAGGACATTTGTGATAGTTTGTATACTGAAAGCATTGCTTTATTTTGAACTTATTTTCATTTTGAAATAAAAGAATCATGTTTAGTAAATTGTTGTGCAATTAACTTTATGTATTGATTTTCCTTTCGTCCTATTATTCAGAATGAAGATAATATATTTTGTCGTCGTCGGTATAGTTCAATTCATAACTGAGACATCGATGGACAAACCTATCTGTATAGTTATAGTATAATTTGAGTTAGTTTATCTTAAGTAGTGAATTATACTAGTACACTTTGTATTGAACTCGACCACAGAGGAGAAATTTATTTTATACTGACTAAGTAAATGAATTAAAGCCCGTGATATTGCTCGTACCCTTAAGTTGTTTGATAATGATGGGCACGTGTGATTAATAGTAATTCTTTGATTCATGAAAAAGTGAGATATATTCCGCTAGATCAATAAGCGTGTTGGCGAGTGCAGGGCTTGCGGGTGAGTGCGACATTCGCTCGCTGGCGAGTGATCCGCTTGTCGACGAGTGCAGAGCATGCTGGCGAGCGTTGCATGCAATGAGCATGCAACGTATGCTAGCGTGTGCGAGTGATCTTGGCAACATACAGGGTGACGCTCTGCAATGGGCGCAGAGGTCTCTCGGTGACAGGCGGGCCTTGCGCTGGGTCCTCGGTGAATGATTGCTTGAGCTTGCTCGGCGAGGCGTGCGCAAGCTATCAAGCGACACTTGGCGATGGCCAGGGCGTGTTGCGGGCCGATGCAGTGCAACACATGCATTGGGCAGGACGACGCTCGAGCGATGGCTAGATGCGGCTGGGCAATGACTAGGGCGTGCTTGGGCGACGCGCACATGGGCTCGGAGCTAGTCCTCTGTGGATCGACGGTAAAGTTTCTTGGCAACGTCTTGATTCTTCTCGACAATCGGCGGAACTTTCTCGGGAAATGCTCGTGCTAGCGGACACCAAACTAGGGACTGTGACGGGATGCTCGGAAATGGACTGTCATGGTAAGTGCTCGGCTATGCCTCATGTGTTCGGGACTCGGACTCGATTCTTTCTCATAGATTACGATTAAATGGACCTAAAAACACCAACGAAACATAAAAATAGGAAAAATACAAGAAACACAAAACAAAGACTGAAAAATACAGGAAACGTACAGATAATCCNAAAAAAAAAAAAAGAATTACAAAAACATACATAACAGTAATCCTACAAGAAAATCTATGAGGTTCAGTTATTTTTAGATGAAAATAATGTAGGAAAGCCTTGTTATTTAAAACTCTGCACATGCTACACAAACACATCACCTCATGTGCAAACATTAATGGTAAAAGTTGCAGGATAAGGCGAAAGAACAATTCATGAAAATGGGGACCATATTCTACGACTTAAGATAGTGCCATAATTCAATTAATTCACATATAATAGTAGTGCCATAATTTTTTAAATTAAAATAGACAAAAAACAATTTTGTCCGAGAGTCTAAATTCCAGTTGAAATTGACATGTAATACCTATGTGTCCTGTTAAATTTTTTCTGGTCAAAATTTAAATTTCGGGCAAAAGTTAGCCTCAAATTGATCAAACATTATCCTTTGAATCGGAGAGTGATCCGTCATATTCATATGTGGAGGCGTCCTATTAAGTTTCTGGTCAAAATTTAGATCTCCGAACAAAATTATTTTTGAACTAATTAATTACAAAAATTATGAAATCATTATTAAATTAATAAAATAGATGGCTGGCTTTGTATTTTTTTCTCCCGCAACAAGAGCACATGAGAAAGGTGGGATAACAAATGCTCATTGGAAAACGCCTACGTAGCAAATATGAGGGCGACCTAGAAATTGTGCGGACAAAGTTGTTACCTAGCCAAGGAAAAAAGGAATGAGCCATAAATATATTTAGGTAACGTGCCTTTTAGGCCATAAAAATTTTGACACCAAACACAAAAATATAACCAACTATATATCTTCATTTATTAAACACAATTAATGGATAACAACATTTATTAAGTAGTTGAAAAAGGACTTTTTTCGTAGGCATAATCAAACAAGGAACGCATTAAGTCATATTTTTTTCTATTTTTGATATAGCACAAAATAAGTTATGTAACATAAAACGTACATCTCAAAATTGCGTAAAATTTAAAATATTGTCGTGAAGTTAAAAAAAATAAAAAAATAAAAAAAAAAAATGGTTCACCTGAGGTAAAAAAGGACACACAAAATTGTACGAAGGGCATTCATGATTCATTAACAAGCAAAAGATATTCCTGTGTTGGTTGACTCGAGGTGAATTGAGCATGAACTTTCAAATTACAAAATAAATTGAGATTAAAAAAATTGTTCTTTATCTCCGGTCAACTTTTCTTTTAGCTAATTTATTCATTAAAATATGTACTTATAATCCATTGTGTGTCTTAAAATATATTCAGTCACATGTATTTGGATTTAGTAATCTTTTAATCACACAGTGTGATATCCCGAGTCATGTTCTGAGACAAAATTGAAAAAAAAAAAAATTAAAGGACTTCATCTGTAAAAGTCATATCAACAGACATACCTTTTTATTGATATTTATATTTAATTCATAAGAACTCCAAAATTGAGTGTACTGAGTGTGCTCGCAGTCTTTCAATTACATAATCTTTTTAATATTTAAAATGATAANAACCCCACACCCCACCCCCACCCCACCCCGGTGGGCCCTCTCGTCTCCCTCAACTAACTCCCAAAAACCACACAGTCACACAGTGCTACAATCCAATCAATGCATACAATTGGCTGTACGTATAGCCCCCACACACAAGTAATATTATACATACATATATACATATATATAATCCTCAAGAATTTATAATAATACATTTTAATTAGTCTCTTTCAACTCCACACACACACATACATCGCCCCTGCAGCACGCTGCTATTTGCAGCTGCCACTTGCAGGCCTACTGTGTGTATGTATGTATAGGTGTATTTATATATTTTTATTAGCTTGCTTTTGAGGAGTAAAAAATTTGTGGGCACACAAAAAGTTGGTGTTAATACTTGTTAATTTTTGGGTTAATGTTAATGGCGGAAAACAACTGCGCACAGTATATGTATCTGTATCTGTGTTGTTGTTGTGTGGTATTAATAGGACCTGAGTACTTTATCTTTTGAGTTAATAAAGTCTGATTTTGATGTGCAGATAAAAGGTAAAGCGAACCCCATTTTTTTTTTTTCAGAGAGAGAAAGCTAATGCGGAGCTGGTGAACTTTATAAAGGTACCTCTTTCTCTCTCTCTCTCTCTCTCTCTACTCTACTCCATTTAATTAGCCGGCGGATTTCGTGGTTTGAGGTTGAAATTGGGCGTGATTTTGGGTGCTTTAGGGTTCGAACATGTTGTGCGGGTTGATCGATCTGAACGCGGCGAGCAATGAAGACGAAACGGCGTCGTCCTCTGATTCTCCGTCACTGTCGGCGGCCTCCGGGAGTTTGGATTTGGGCGCCACGTCGCCGGCGGCGGCCGCGGCCGTGTGTATGGAGCTTTGGCACGCCTGCGCGGGGCCGTTGATTTCGCTGCCGAAGAAAGGGAGCGCTGTCGTTTACTTCCCTCAGGGACACGTGGAGCACCTCCCTGAGCACCACGCCGTCGCCTTCGATCTTCCTCCTCACGTGTTTTGCCGCGTTGTGGATGTTAAGCTTCATGTATGTATATATATATATTCACACACAGTCACACACAGTGAATTTCGTATTTCTTTTTCTCTCTCTTTTTTTTTCGTCGAATTTCTTTGCTGAGTTTGAGTTTTTTGGTTTTTGGCCGTCAATTTCGTTGGCAGGCGGACACAGGCAGTGATGAGGTTTATGCTCAAGTTTCACTAGTTCCAGATCAACAGGTACAACAAAGTAATCTTCTGAAAGCTGCATTACATTTTGCTGTTTCCCTCTAAGTTTTTTCATGATAATTCTTTGTTTTAATTTTGAAAAATTGAAGCTGTAGGATTACACTTGTATATATGATCCAATCCATCTTTCAAACCAATTTATTTATTTATAGAAAATGGGTCCTTCCATGAATTTATGACAAGTGAAATTTTCTTATCTAATCTGAATTTTGCTTTCCCTTTGACCTCTAAAAATGGTAATCTTTTCTGTTTTTGTTATGAGGCAAAGAATTGAATGTTTAGATCTCGTAGGATCAATATCTTTCCCTTTAACGCTATATACAGTTGATATTAAAATCGTGATGACTCTGCCCAAATATTTTTGTTACCTTGATGAATTTAGTAGTTTTTATGCCGCTCAGGGATGAATGTAATGTCTTGCTGAAATTTTCAAGGAAGAAAATTTATAAGTGGAGTCCTTTGTTAAGTGATGTAAATTATTGTACTAAGGGAATTCGTTTAGTATAAATGTAAATACATTTGTTTAGTATAATTTACAAAATGCTGTTTTAATATGGTCATATGAGCATTTTATCAATTAAAGCTTATTTCCTGTAGATTGAGCAAAATTGGCGAGAAGGAATAACACGAGGAGAGGCGGGGGATGAAGATGTTGAAGGCGTCGTGAAATCTTTGACACCTCACATGTTCTGTAAAACTTTAACAGCGTCTGATACCAGCACTCATGGTGGCTTCTCGGTTCCTCGTCGTGCTGCAGAGGATTGCTTTCCTCCTCTGGTAATTGAAGTCTTTATATTGATAGTTTTGTTAAATAAGTTAAACTTATGGTGAAGTTAACGGATTATGTCTTGTAGTGTTCCTTCATGAGTATATCCGTTCTCTTCTTAGGATTACAAACAGCAGAGACCGTCACAGGAGCTTGTCGCTAAAGATTTGCATGGCACTGAGTGGAAATTTAGGCATATCTACAGAGGTGATTTATCAAACTGTTGGTGCCTGTTACTTGAGCTCTGAAGATTTTTTTTATTAGTTTGTATAACTTGATTTTTATTTTTAAATAAAAATGTGGTGCAGGCCAGCCTCGAAGGCATTTGCTAACTACTGGATGGAGTGCATTTGTCAATAAGAAGAAGTTGGTATCTGGAGATGCCGTGCTTTTTCTAAGGTTGAAATTCTGTTCATTATTGCACACCGAGTTAAATTCCTTTGAATTCTTATGTTTGGACATATATTTACAGAGGCGGTGATGGAGAACTTAGGCTTGGGATTCGTCGAGCTATGCAAGTTAAAACCGGTGCTACTGTCTTCCCCCCTAACAGTCAACAGTTTCAAGCTAGCAGCCCTGTTTCTGTTGTGAATGCCATTGCCATGGGAAGTACTTTCGACATTTGTTACAATCCAAGGTATATCAATCTGTTGATAGTAGTTACTCAATTAGTACAACTTCTATTTGCTTCTCAACAAATATAAGCGGACTTAGAAAGTCTACATGGACTCAATTTATGGGTATTTGTTTAGTCATTTTGATGCTATTTATTTGCGATGAATTAGTTTAGCTATAATTGCCCAATGTACCTAAGTATGAACTAGCATGGGGTGAAACGCATGAATTGGACCTATGTGCATGCTTTTTTTTTCTTTGTTTTTTTTTTGGGAAAAATAAAAGACAAAGATAGGTTGTCTTACATATGGCTTTGGAGAAATACCTAACATACCTTGTTTTGTATGCTACTGAAATATGTACTTACTAAATAGTTGGTTTTGATATTTCCTTCATACATTTATATACTTTCAGTGAGGTCTTGCATGGATTTGCTTTTTTATATTTCCTTTTCCGCCGGTGCATCTTAATTTTGAACCTGTTTTCCAGAGCTCGTTCATCTGAGATCATTGTACCTTATCATAAGTTCTCAAAGAGCCTCTCGCAGCCTTTTTCTTGTGGAATGAGATTTAAAGTGCGTTTTGAAACAGAAGATACTTCTGAAAGGAGGTTGGTATCTTATGGTCTAAGACTTCATACATCATTACATTGAATTTATCTGGAAATCTAACTTTGAATATGTAGGTGTGGAGGCCTCATTGTTGGGGTTAGTGATGCTGACCCAAAAAGATGGCCTGGTTCAAAGTGGAAGTGCTTACTGGTAAGTTATTGGCCAATTTTGTTACTTGGATGGGCATATTAATTTCATGGTCCCCTGTTGCTCACATATTTACTCACTGAGGTAACTTTATATTATAGGTCTGCCATCTTTTAGCTGACCTAGATAATTAAGGAACCTAATCAACTGTTTGGCAGTTGATAAATAGAACTAGATCAAAGCTTTTAGTGTGGGGTCCATCATATATAGGGTGGCTGTGGGACAACTGAAAATGCAATTCACAAGGAAAAAATTACTTGTGGCAGGACATATCCACAAAATATGAACATAAATTTATTTTAATTTATTTTAATATGAAAGCACATTTGTGCGTCACGAACTTGAAACAATTACACGTACATTTGCTTTAATTTGGACTTAATAGATGCATAATCCCCCAATATTAAGAAAAGCCAAATTCCAAACTGATTTTTGCAGGTCAGATGGGATGATATGGAAATCAACCGCCTCAATAGGGTTTCCCCTTGGGACATTGAGCTGTCGGGCTCGGTCTCCGGGCCCAACAGCTTCGTCTTACCTGGAACCAAGAGAAACCGGGCCAGCTTTCCCGCAGCAAAGCCCGATCTTCCACTTCCTGGAGGTTCAACCAATCCTATTTCTCCTCTTAAATTTGCTTTCCTTCCAAAAATTCAATCTAAGACCATTAATTTTATTTATTTTTTTTACTCTTTACAGATGGGAATGAGGTTTCGGGGTTTGGCGAGCCTCTAAGGTTCCAGAAGGTCTTGCAAGGTCAAGAAGTGTTTGCATTCGGCCAGCACACACCGAATGATGTCATGATGAGGTGCTATCCGAGACCCAACTGTCCGAGATTCCGTGCAGATGCCCAGAATTCGTTCGGGCAGCAACCCTTTCAATTCCACAATAAGGTCTTGCAAGGTCAAGAAATTGTGCCGAGGCTTGGAAACAGCTGGCCCACTTTAAACCAGGCCCAGGCCCACAGTTCTAACATTCAACCTTTTGTACCTCCTCAGTTCACTTCATTGCATAAGTCCAGCAGGCCAATCGATCACGATCCGTTTTCTGTTTCACATAGGATTTTGAATAAGTTTGGAAATGGCTCTGTCAAAGATCTACTTGGAGTAGTCCCTGAAGTGCGTGGACAAACGGCATTTACGCACCACCGTCCAGTTTCGACTCGACCCTTCTTTGGAGAAAATCCAAGTTTTGTTTCCATGTGCAAAAATAGCTGCAGGCTTTTCGGGTTTCCCTTGACTGAAGGGAAAGTTTTAGAGGGTAAAAATGAAATTAATCAAACAGGATCATCTCCTTCAGCTTATGGCCGTGAAAGTAACACTTTCCCTTGCAATGAGGAGCAGGCTTATCATCAACCTTCACTGGTGGCCAAGGTAATAGCCAGTAGTTATACCAAAGTGCACGATATGCATTCTGTACGAGACAGGCTTCTCGATATTGCTCTCTAAGTATGAGATTTGTGGGGGATAATGGTCATTTTTACGTGTTATGGGAGATCTCCATGCATAGATGACGACTGAGAATTAAATGTCTGTTTCGGTTCGGTTTTTGGTGAGGTAGGGGCCCGGTGTTTCCACGTGTTTCGGTTTGTTATTTATTTAATAAATTAATGACGATGATTTTTAAACTCAATGACGCGCGTGTGTTGTATAACAGTGGTATTTTCGCTGTAAGATTTTTATTTTAGGTCGAAATCATGAACCGGCTATGTATTCGAAGTGTAAATTTGAAATTTCTCCTATTTAAGCCATTCAGCAAGATTAATTTGCTTGTACTAGCATAATAGCATTATTGCAAGGGACTGGCTTTAATTTGGTTAGTTTTTGCTATAACTTTGTTTGTTGGAATCACAAGTGGAAATGCAGGTTTCATTTGAGTTCGATTTTCACCTTTTCTGCTCTAGGAATTATGTTATGTGGCTCCCAGTTAATTATTGGACGGTCCCTCTGGGCCTATCCTTGTTAATTGTCTTGAAGAAAATTTTTGCTAGAATTGTTTTCGTTTGTTGACTCTTTTGTCATTAAATTGGAACGCGTTTTTGTTGGAATGAGCTATTTCGAGCAAATACGAAACGCCATTTGCTACCGTTCATAGGTTTTTTCCTTTCTTGTTATCCTTTTCAAATTATTAACCTGTCAAGTTTTTGTGTGGGTGTTGATTAATTTCTTGCGTTCATATTTGTGTGTAGAAGCAATTATTTTTTGGTGGCAGATCAGTATCACAAACAATAGGTAGCTAATTCCTCAACTTACGTCATAATTAATGGATAGTAAGACTACTTTAGGCATGCATAGCGTAATGGTTGAATAGATGCAAAAATTTAAAACGATTGAAAAGACCCAAGTTGAAGACTAGAGCTAGGGCTTTTCAAATTGAAATGACTATAAAATAAATACATGAATAAAAGTATGATATTTTTATAACATAAGTATGTATTTGTAAAAAAATATGATAGATCGACAAGCATAATGGTCAAAACTCACAACAAAATTTTGTGTTTTATGGAACTTTAGGCATATGGATATATTGTTTGTTAAGATTATTCAAAAGTTTAATATTCTTTAGTTTATTCAACCGATTATTATGAGGCATAATTTATAATTACATCATATCAAACGTCAAAAACACTCCCCAAATAGATTCAAATCTTCACTGCTCATACTGTAGTTTTTCGCCGTCTACGTAAAATTCAAAATGCAGTTATAAACTTCACCTTAAGTTAAAGCCCTTTTTATTTTCTAAAAAACACAAGCCAAGGTCCCACTATGTTACTTTTATGTAAATAAATAAATAAATAAATAAAAGAAGTTAAAATTATGGACCGACCGCGTTCTTACTCCCATACAGAACGACGTCGTGATTGGATGATATACTTCAGCGGTGGGTCACTCGTTTGGCGCGCATAAAACCTCACACTCATTTGAGCCGCGCCATTTGCCTGTCGTCTTTTTCTTTTTTATATTATTTTTCAAACTCGCGTTCATTATAATCTACTCCTCTGTTTTGCCGGCAACTGGTTCACTGTGCACCCGTAACAGCGGAGGATGACCACCGGCGGCGGTGGGGAGAGCTCGTCCATCGAAGTCACGGCAACGTGGGCGGTGGCGGCGGTTTGCTTCGTTCTGATTGCGGCTTCCATCCTCATCGAGCACGGCCTTCGTCTCGTAGCTAAGGTTATACTCAAATCACGTCATGCATTATTGTACTTTTCTGTACTCCATGATTCGTAATTTTTCCCAATTTCCGAAAATGAAGGGGTGCATTATTTTGTGCGCAGTGATTTCTACTCGATTCGGATCTGAATTGTTGTTGCTTGATTTGAATTGTTGAGTGCGCTGTTCTTTATTTGATAATTCAATGATTTTTGTTTCAGTACTTGGGAAGAAAGAGGCGAAGATCTCTTCTTCACGCTCTTAACAAGATCAAATCAGGTTAGTTTTTCCCCTTGTTTTTTGCCTTACTTTTTTTTTCCCTTTAAAATGAAAACTACGGAAAATTTATACTTGATATGTGATGTGCAGATTTGATGCTTCTGGGGTTTATTTCCTTGTTACTGTCGGTACTCGAGAGGCGAATCGCGACCATATGTATTCCGAGAGGTGTCGGTGAATCTTTTCTTCCTTGCAAAAACCTCACTATTGTTATGGAGGAGGAATCCAAATGTCAGCAACAGGTTAACCATAACAACTTAATTTACACTTTGTTTACCAATTAAATCGGTATTATTATTCGTACTTTCTGAATTATTTGTAATGAAAATAGAATTTGGTTTCGGTTTTGGCCTTTTAGGCATAATTTGATATTTCGGGTTCAATAATTGTCCATACAGGGAAAGGTTTCCTTGATATCAAGAGTTGGTGTGCAGCAACTTCAGATGTTGATATTCTTTTTGGCTTTCTCTCACGTCCTCTGCAGTTTCCTCACGTTTAGTCTTGGGACTATAAAGGTACTTAATGTCTGTTTCTCGACGTAGAATTTTTCGCCATGTTCACATTCTTGCACACTAGAAGAGGTGTCTCCATTTGCGGGTTTCTTTTACGTGTGCTTTGAAGAGATGCCGTGTCGAAATTGTACCATTGTCGTTGTCTGGGACCTTATTACCTGTTTGGTTACAATAAAGTCTTGAAAAGGACTCAAATTATTGTAAGAGTTATTATTGGCATAACTGTGGGTTGTTATGGTCCTTGTGCCTAACTATGAGCACTTTCTGATACTTTCCAGATGAAGAGATGGGAAAACTGGGAGGCAGAAACTAGATCACTCGAATATCAATTTTCAAATGGTAATTTTTTGGGAGGTTTTCATGTCATTTTTTGGAGGGTGTCTATGTTTGTTTTGCGTAGATTAAACGGGTGAAAAACTAGTTTTTATGTTGAATCTGGACGGTACACGAAAATGTGAAAATTTTCTGTGTCTGTTAATTCATATAATATCATTACAATGACACCTCAGAAAGCTTTAAGTATACGTGAAAATGTGAAAATTTTCTTGCTAATTCATGAACATCGGGACTTCAACTGTAATTGCTTGCTTGCTTGCTTATAATGTAGACCCAATGAGGTTCCAATTTATTCATCAAACGTCATTCGGGAGGCGGCATCTCCAATTCTGGAGTGAACAGAGAATGCTACGGCTGCCGGTATTATAAACTTTTTTTTTTCTTTTTGTCATTTCAAATATATAATTTTTCCAATTTCGGAAAATGATTTAATTAATATCCGTTGACTGCATCATTTGAATAACACACGAAATCACTTTTCACAGGTTAGTTTTCTCCGTCAATTCTTTGGATCAGTTTACAAAGTAGATTATTTCACTCTTCGACATGGGTTCATAGCGGTAATTTTCTTTTTTTTTTTTTTCTTTTTTTTGGTTTTTTTACGTACTGATAAGCAAAGTATACACCAAGCCATACATACTAACATCTCATATTCTCCCCCTCTTTTAGGCCCATTTTGCCGAAGGAAATAATTTTGATTTCCAAAAGTATCTGAAACGAGCGCTTGAACAAGATTTTGAGGTGGTCATAGGCATGCGGTAATAATTTCTATGCTACAATGTCTCTTGTCAAATAATTGAAAGTACATAATATTTATTATTCCATGGTAACTAAAACGATGACATATTTTGTTCCCTTTTGACTAGTCTTTGGATCTGGTTCTTTTCCGTACTCTTCATATTCTTCAACGCATATGGTAAGAGCTCGAGCATTTAACAATGTTATATTCTCAGATTCAGAGTCTTTTAAACCTAAAGCTAACCGAACATCTGTTTTGTACCCAATGCAGTATTTCGGAACTATGCTTGGCTCCCCTTCATCCCCCTAGTGGTAAGAGATGGTTTGCAATTTTTGCTTACTTAGTTACTAATATTTAATGTTTAATTTGTATATAGTAAGAACTCAAAATATTGTTGCTCCCAGATGCTACTGGTGGTTGGGACTAAGCTGCAAGGCATAATCACCAAAATGTGCTTGGACACCAATGTTAAATCCCATGTTGTCAGAGGAACTCCGCTCGTTCAACCAGGAGACCACTTCTTCTGGTTTCGTCGACCACAATTGCTACTCCACCTTATGCATTTCATCTCATTTCAGGTAGATATTTTTTTTTTTTTTTTTTTTTTTAANGAGGTCTTGTTTCCACCAAGAAACGGAAGATATCGTCATAAAGCTAGCGATGGGCGTTATGATCCCCATTCTCTGTGGCTACGTCACTCTCCCTCTATACGCTTTGGTCACTCAGGTAAAACAAAGTAAAAAAAAAAACCAAAAAAACACAACAATTATTTTAAAAAAAAATCTAAATTTCTAAATTTTAACGCGCGAACTCACATTCTCGACCGACAGATGGGCACGTCCATGCGTAAATCCGTATTCTCTCCGGAAGTTGTCGAGGGCCTCAAAAGATGGCGGGATAAAGCCAGGCGAAACCTGGCCACAAATACGAGCCCGAATCCAGCGCAACTTTCCTTGGACCCGTCAGTCGAGTCCTGTCCTTCTTTCAGCACTCTCGATGCTTCTCATGTGCTTGATGTGGACTACATGAGTGATGATGTGGCAGAGTCGGACGGGAGATTGGATGGGGAAATAGTAGCAGAAAGGCCGCCCGTGCAACGTGGCTCGTTCGAAGGCTTTGATTTGAAGAGAGAGTTGACAAGAGTTGACAGGGTGAAGCTAGCCGACCTCACTTAGAGTGTAATAAGTATGACAGGGTGAAGCTTTTGTATATTGTGTGTGTATTTTTTAGTGTTAATTTATTGAATATTGTAGCAAATGGTTTATAATTATATAGATTGTTGGTACATTGATGATGATTATTTATTGAAGCCGAGCGAGCAACTAGGAGCACAAGTCCTTCAATAGGATCTGATTGGTATGTCGTGAATGACGTGGAAATGGAATGATTATTCCTTTATTCATTCTTATTCTCAACGCAAAACTTATGTATATGGGATTAGTCATTTTATAGCTAATGGATGATTTTTTTTTCTCATTCCAATATATTTAGGAATCGATTTTTCAAAAACTAAAATTAACAAATAATAATAATAAATAAATATATCATATATACTATATTATCAATATTAAATTATATTAAACAAAATCATTTTAAAAATTTGTTTTATTTATTAGTCATATGTTAATTAGATATATTAAATACTTATATAAAAATAAAACTCACAAAAAATGTATTAATAAATAGTTTAAAAATTTTTTATTTATTATATATAAACATATATATCATATATTTATTTATAAATTGAATTATATTATAAAAGAATATATTGGACCAAATGTTTATAGGGGTTTATGTAATGATATATTTGTGTTAGTTAATATGTATATAAATACATGATTTACTTATTTATTACATAAGATGAGTGTAACAATACAAAAGTATGCTTATTAAAATATAGTATATTTAAATACAAAATAATATTAGTATTATCATAAATAAGAAAATAAGATTAATATAAATATTAATTTGTTATTATAAAATAGTGATAAATGATAATATAGGATGATAATGTCATTTCATTCTATTCCTTCTGCATACCAAAGCATCAATGACAAAGGTTGTTTCATTCCTTTCCTGTAATCATTCATTATTCAACTCATTTTATTCCTACCAAATTCTATTTCATTATACCAATCATGTCATTAGTGTCAATTGTTGGGTTATTAGGGTTATATATTCGGGGGAAGAGGTTGTGAATTCTATAGAAGCGAAGCACATAATAAGAGGATGGACTTTGGTACATTTTAATGGGTTTCATCTCAAAGTCAAACTTATTGGTGATAGGAGTAGTAGTCTGCTTTGTAGTATTTTGTGGGTAGTTGGTAACCGAGCTACCATACCTCAAGTCATTCTCAAAAGAAGACGGTTCGGAGCTTTGTTCACTACTCTCAATTGTCCAAATCACACAAAACGAGAAAATAAAAGCTAAACATGCTAATAAATTAGATTGGAGGTGAATTAACACTAATTGCACTACGAATTGAAAGCAACAAGCAAACGAGAGAATATAGCAATTAACACTACCGGAGTCTCTATTCCATCGACATCAAACGAAATCAACAACGAACAATTTGCAAGTTCTAAGCACTATGTTACTAACCTAAGTGATTAAGCTCTAAATAGAGTCTTAACCCTTAATCTAGGTAGGCAAGCAATTAGTCCCTACTAAAACAAGCAATAGCAATGATCAAATCCAAACATCTCCTCCATCATCAAGCAAACACTCAAAATTACCTTGAAAAACTTCATAAGTAAAAACGGGGCAAAAATCGAAGTAAAGAGCTTTAAAAGTAAATACTCAATCTTCTATTGCGTGCTAGATGAAAATCGGAGTCAAAAGCTCGAAACTTGAACAAAATAAACGTCGCCGGAAAATGATGTCATAGAGCTCGCAAGAGAGAGAAGAGAGAAAACCAAAAAGAAAAGTGTAATTCCTAAAGTGGTAAAGTGACAAATGAAATCTAGATGCCAAAATACAAAGGGCCAAAATATATTTATAGTGCAATCTAAGGACACACTAGGTGCACACACATTTACTAATTCTGCAGCTCGCAGGTCTCGAATTCTAGTTCGCGGCGAGTGTTGGAGTGAAAATGAACTAAAACTGCACGTTCGCGGGGCGCCAAATCATATTCGCCGTCAGTGTCTAGCTCATGGGGCGCGGATCGCCGTCTCGCAGTGCGCGAGTAGAAGTTGGCAGCGAGTGCGCTGGGGCTGGTTAGGCGCGAGCCGCTTCGCAGGTCGCCAGTCATCCTTCGCCGCGAGTGCTGGCCTGTAGGTGTTGCGCCTGGCGGGTCGCGAAGATATCTTCGCAGCGAGTGGCGCATGGCTGGGGTCATCAGTTGGCGCGGCGCGAAGTCCTCTTCGCAGCGAGTGTTGGCCTTGGCAGGTGTGTGCGTTCGCGCGACGCGAAGTTCCGTTCGCAGCGAGTGTGTGCCTGGTTCCCTTGGCCGCACATCTCGTCGGTCGCGAGTGTGGTTTGGCTTCGAGTTCGGGCAGTGGTTGGGTTGACTTAGTGTTAGATTTGCCGCTCGAACAAGTGACTCGGGTGATTCGGTGCAGGTTCGGGTGGCTCGTAAATGGCTAGAAAAATTACCCGTCTTCCCAATCGTACTAATTGGACCTAAACAACACACAAAATCACAATAAACATAGCCTAATTAAGTTCAACACATTGAAAAATTATATTCAGGGAATTACACGTTCACATCTATCATTATATAAAAAGAATAACCATTTTTCAAAAATGGTAAGTCAAATTCTTAGTCGCATTAATTACTTACCATTAATGGTAATAAATATTTTTTTTAAAGCTTCCCCGTGCAATTAATGCTTTTCAAGATTTTTGGGATGTTGTTATTTTGTAATTGACCAATGCACTGATTTTGCGTTAGAAAATATTATCCCATTAAAAAATCTTATCCTATTAAATCTCCTTAATATAACACTTATTTTATATTAAGAAATAATAATACCACGGATTTTGATTTTCAATCCTTCACAAATTAAAGAATTTTATAATTAAATGTCAGCACTTATTTAATAATAAGAAAAAAATCGGCCTTTCCAAAACTCCATGGATTTTATTTAAAATCACGAATACCTTGCTCAATCAATTCTCCAAAATATAAGTCCGAGTTATTGTCTAATAAAAATATAAGTCCGAGTTATTGTCTAATAATTTTTTTTAGGGTATCTACTATATAAAAAGCAATTCTCCAAAATATAAGTATGAGTTATTGTCTAATAAAAATTTTTTAGGATATCTACTATATAAAAAAATTAGGGCATGTTGTATTGTCTAATTATTTTTTATGGTATTTGTAAATACTAATATTTTTGCTTAAAATTATTAATGTACGGTTTTTTAGACTATAATATATAATAGTGGATATAACTCTAAATATATTTTTATATATAATATTATATATAATTTAAACATATTGTTTGAGCAATTTTTTATACACATTTGTTAAAGTGTATATATATATATAGAGAGAAATGTTAACTTTAAGTGATTTTAGATACTTTTACACATTTTATATAATAATTTAGGTATTCTTAATGTTTTAAAAATATTTAGACAAATTTTTACATATTCTCTAGATTAAGAAATTATTTTCCTTACAAAATAGTTCAGAAAAATTTTAGGTGACTTCACACATATTTCAAAAATAATGTAAAATATTTTGAATACTTTTTAGATATGTGATATAAGATTTTGTATTACATAAAAAGAGAATAAGAGTTATAAAGCATGGTAATTTTAGATATAAAATTCTGTTTTATTTGTTATAACTTTACATGGAAGTTATGTTATAATTATCGATATCGTTTCGCGAGACAATATCTCTTATTAGACTCATAATATTTTATATAATTTTAAACATATTGTTTAGATAATTTTGTACACATTCTATCTATGTATACATGTCCACATACACATATACATATACATATATTAAATATAAATAGTTGATGACTCCACATCTTTCAATAATGATATTTAAAATTTTAGATACTTTTATATATGTTATATAATATTTTAGACGTTTTTAATAATTTAAACATTCATTTTTTTAAATTCTTTTATACAAGATAATTATATATTGTTTACAAGTCATATACGATAATTATATTACATATTAAGTTCACATCTTTAATTTATAATTATTAGTTAATATTATTTAACTTCATCTTTAATTTATAATCATTAACTAATATTGTTTACCGATGCATTGCACGGGATACGCACTAGTACTTTCATTAATTCGCAATATGTATTCGACTTACTCGATCATTCTATTACCAGATTATTTTTACTATAAGAAAAATTACTAGCGCATTTCAATTTTGACTTAGATAATTTCACGTGTATCATATATTTTTTTTTATTCATTGCATAGCGCTGAAAATTAATCCTTTAAAAGGTGTCTGCGTTTGGATGTGAAATCAAAATATAAAACTTTCCCTAATTAATATACTATTTATGTGTCTCACTTTTCTCATCTCAGTTTTAATATATATATTTTCTTAAAAAAAACTTATTATCCATTACTCATACATTTTTAATTACTATTCATGTTATTATTATTTTAATTTATATCAACTTTAATAATTATACTTTTTCCTTATTCTCAATCACATTTTTAAATTCATTCCTCANAAAATCACGTTCAGTCCGTCCATTAATCCATTTCCGCAATAAATATGAAATATTTAGAATAACAACTAAAATTTGTGATATTATCTTCACTTGATTCGGTCATCCTAAAAATACAGAACCTGAACATAAAAAAATCGTGATCCCTAATTAACCCTACTAATGACCAATTGACAAAAGTTTAATAATGCTTTGAATAAAAATAAAAGAAATTTTTTTAAAAAATAATAAAAGTGACCAAATCCATAGAATTACACGCCTGCACCCATCCAATTAAATAGCCCCACGTCTACAATTGTTCCCGGTTCAGCTTACGTCATTTACGTTGACTTTTGCGTTCACGGTCCACCCTCTCCAAAACCCTTCAAATCAGTATATATATATGGAAAAGTGGAAAATACTACAGCCAAATCTGAAAATACACTCTCTCTATCTGTCTAGAAAAATACACAAACACATTATTCTGTCTCTTCTCTAAAACACACACACTCTCTCTCCTCCATGCAACACGCGCCTCCGCCTGCAAACACGGCCTCCGCCGGCGGCTCCGGCGACGCTCCGCCGGGAAGCAGCGACGCCGGCGGGAAAAAGGCGAGGCACCTGGTGGCGGAGAACGCAGTGGTGGTGTTCGCGAGGGAGGACTGCTGCATGTGCCACGTCATCAAGCTTCTTCTTCACGGCCACGGCGTGAATCCGGCCATCCGCCACGTCAGCGACCGGGACGAGACGGACGTGACGAGGGAGCTGTCCCGTTACCTCCGGCGCAGGGGCGGCGCCGCCCTGCTGCAGTTTCCGGCGGTGTTCGTCGGAGGGGAGTTGTTCGGGGGTCTGGACGAGGTCATGGGGGCCCACATTTCCGGCGAGCTCGTGCCCAAATTGAAGGCCGCTAAGGCTTTGTGGCTTTAATTGATATTTAATTAGTCTTTTCTTTTTCTTTTTTTTTTGTTTTTGGGGGAATTTTTCTTGTCGTCGATTTCCGATCGATGTGAGAATATCATAAGATACTATTTAACCGACTAATGAATGGCGACATATCCTTGAATTATTTAAGATTTAGCATTAATCTCAGTCTCACCCTTAAATTTCTATTTGTGTAAGTAGATCTGGCCACACGGAACTACAACTCGAACCAGAATTGTAGTCAACGGTTTGAAAACAGTTGTCGGTTCTAAAACCTACATCGGCCATTTAATTCCCGTTTTTATTCCATGTCTCAAAAACCCTAGAATAGAATTTTGAACTGTTGGAGCCTCGAGGAACTTTAGCTCTCACAGAATAGGCATAAAACTGAATTAATGTTCGTGATGATATCAAGTCAAAAATTAATATAATGTGGATTATTAGCAAACTTCCCTTTTATTTTTGTATTTATCATTTAAGTAAATGTTGAACTTCATATTTAGATTTTTCTACTTGCATTAAAGTTCCTTCTTTTGCAAGAGTTACAAAATAATATCACTAAATTAGTTCCAGAACTTTTGCATTATATTAAAGTTCCTTCTTTTACAGAATTCCAGAATTTTACAGACGTACTTATATGTGAGGTATGGATTGTGTTTTACAGGTTCTGAATTTTTATGTTAGAATATTGAGTTGTCCCTCATCATTTATATATGGAAAATCTAATGGGCTACTCCTCTTTTCACTAATTCGTTTTGGGATGGAACCCCAACTGGAGTTTCATCTAGGCTTTTTCCTGCTTATGGTGCGCTTCACGTGTGTGGGACCGCATCCCTTTTTCCCCCATTTCTTAAATGGTATCAGAGCCGGTTCTAAGAAAAATAGGCCTAATTTATAAATCTAATGGGCTACTCCTCCTTCAATAAATTGGTTTTTGTGTTGAATCTCACTTGGACTTCATCTGGGCTTTCCCTGTCTTAGTGCGCTTCATCTGCGTGGGACCGCACCGGTTTGTTTCTACCCCCGATTCTTACACTTTCTACTTATAATTCGTTTTTTTTTTTAACTATTTTTTTACAAATTTTTTCTCATGATTTAACAATGGCAATACACTCCATCTGCAATTGGCCATATAGGCTGCGTGCCCTAATACCCTTTTCCCCACTTCTCAAAAGTCACCGCTTTCCTCCCTCTGCGTGCCTTCCCCGGCGGATGGCCCTTAGTCTCGGAATTCGACTTCAGTTAGACGTTTAGGCAGTTTCAGGAACAATTTCTTTGACTGGGGTTCAGTCTATGGGGGTGGTTGGCCGTGAGTTCTGCTGGTGCCTAGTTCTGGGCTTGGTTATTCTGCTGTGGGAAGGGCCTCTATTTTTGTTTAGCTTTTTTTTGTTTGTTTGTTTAAGTGTGTAGGGGTTGGGTTGTGTTCTTGTTTTTGTGTGTTGTTGTGGTGTATGTTGTGTCATGTTTTCTCTCGGGAGAGCGTGTATTATTTTGGTGGGATCGTTGATACTCCATTTTAGGAGCTTTTATTATTTGGCTTGTAGTTTTGTGGGTGCGTTTTCTAGTGTTGCTGGCTTAATTAGGTTCGAGACGATTTTCGGATCTGTCCTTTCTTTCTTATTCAACTTTTAGATGTTTCATTTAGCTTTAGGCTATTTCTTGGGTTGTACTTTTTTATGGTTTGATATAAAATCTATGTCGTTTCAAAAAAACAAAAAATTATATCATTGAAATCGTTTCAAAAAAAAAAAAATTGTTTCAGAAAATGGCAATACACTATTGAAGGTGCAATTGGAACATGCTTGATTGTAGATTCACCACTGGGATGTCCATTTTTGCTCCTAATGATCACTAATAGTTGAGTTGTGTTAATAATCAATTAATTATTAATTTTTATAAAGATTTAGCCAGGGATTCTTGTTGACAAATTAAGAATAATTAATATTTTCGTTTTAGCTCAAGAGTTAAAATTCTGTTTGGAATTCCAGATCCGCTCGTGGCGTGATTCCTGATATAATTCCAAGTTCTGGGAAATGTTGGTTTCAATTTTAGTAAATAGCATTTAAAATTATCTTACGCGTGGCTTGCGTCATAGCTTACTTGCTAGCAGATAAATTTTGCCTTTTCGTCCCTAATAATATTTGTTTGTTCAATGTTCTTTCTTTGGGCAGCAAG